GGCCACAACAAATTACCTTTGAAAGCAAAAATTCACGAAAAGGTTGAGTTCAACTCTAACAGCAAAGATATTCCTTTCACATCAGGGTAGTGGAGGTGGTCTATCATAATGCTTAACCTAGTTGCCTTTGGAAATTTTAAGCCTTCAAGTCACACAACAGCATGTATTTATTTAGTACATGTCTGATTTTTTTTCATGAGAACTTAAAATACAGTCATGTACACTATGACCTGAATATTCTTTTGAAGTGGACTTTTCCACCAAGCAGAAAAATACACTGTACAAGTTTGTAACAGCATATTGAGGTTGGTCGGAACCATGGTTGAAACAAATAAGTCGATCTACTTGTCCTTGGTGGCTGTGTAGTATTTTAGTGCTATGAACCTTTCTTTTAAAAAATTAACTGTCAACAATGGAAAAACAAATGGCTTGGCTCATACTAATGAAGCTGATAAGTCAACCTTATGCATACACATAAGTACTTTTGATGCCCACATTCCTATTTAACTGCACTTACCTGTAATTTTATGCACGTTTTTTTGGTTACCGTGTGATTATCTGAGCAGTACAGAGAAGAGTATGGAGAATATAGACACTGAGCTTACGATGTAAAGGCTTGATACCCTACGCTGATCAGGAAGTTTTTAGCTTTCTTTGAACAGCTAGAGAGTTTTATCTTGGTCTTAGTGGTATTTTTATAGTCTCTTCCTGTTTATTTAAGTGACTACTTTCCTTGATGATGATGATGTTCCTGGCCTGCCATCCTTTGAGGGGAGGGCCTGGGAGGGGAGGCTGATCGTCCTAGGGGTGGTGGGGTGCTTGTTCTAGGCCTTGAGTCAGGAGTGTGAGGGATCTTTGGTCTTGAAACAAAAGGGGATTTAATCAAAGATCTAGCAGCTGGAGGCTCAACCAATTGAGGAGGTTGCCTTGAACTTCTTTCTGTAGGCGTAAAGTTTGTTCCTTGCCTGGTGCTTGGGGGCCTCTCCTCTGCTGCTCAATTAGCTGTTGTTCTTGAGCCATGCCTTGATTTAGATGATGTTATTGGTCTGCTCTGTTCTCCAGAATTGTGTGGTATTGTTGGTGTTACTGGTCGGGTCGTATTATTCTGCACAGCGTCTGTTACTATTGCTCCAGGGGTGGTGGGTCTTGTTAGAGGGTGATTGGGGTCGAGTGGAACTGGAAACTTTTTCTTGTTCTTTGGCCGTTGAGATGGATTAGCATTTGGCACTGCAAAACAAGTGGTGGGTAACTCCTCACCAAACAGTTCTCCTTCATTGGGTTCAAGAATTTCTGGCTTATCCAGCTCAGCATCAATGGCATCTCGCTCATCGTCATCATCTTCCTCATCAGACTCCGGGTCATTTGTGGCAGATGGATCATCAGTGATAAGTTGATGATAAACTGGATCTGTCTGGTCATATCAGGGTTGTCTTCTTTCAGGAAACACTCAAGGATCTCCATTCCTTGTGCTCTTGCTTCCTCTTTCAGAGCGGGAAGAGCTGGGATACTCTACAAGGCAACCATTATCATCAGTTTATTTTACTGCGCGGACCTTGTGATAGCTTTAGAGGGAAGATGATGCACGAGTTTAAGCTGACTTTTTACCGATGAAAGTCGGAAAAACTCTGAATATAATTTGATAAAAAGAAAAATGCCCTTAATATGGCGTGGTAACTTCTTATCCTCATTCTCTCGGTAAATCTATCAAAAATTCGAACATTTTTCGACTCGTAATCGCAAATTATTCGCTGGCACATTACCTTAGCACCTCGTTTGAGACACGTCGCAAAAGAACCTACAAAAACATCAGCCTGTTGCAGACTCGAGTTATTGTTTACCCCTCAATTTATTTCGTTTCCATTAAGGCGGTAAGTGTCATAAAGGCCAGTGTAATTGCTAATAGAGCTATCGATACATCGAACTTGTCTTCTTTCTTTCCCTTGAACCGCCGCCCAGTTAGCCCAATGGATAGTGCCCAATGGATAGTGGACTGTTGTGCGGGAGGTCGAGGGTTCAAGCCCCAGCCGGACCAACACTCAAGGTCTTAAAATAATTGAGAAGAATTTGCTACCTTTCTATAACATCAAGAAATGGTTAGATATTCTAGTCTTCTCGGATAGGGACGAATAAACGGAGGTCCCGTCTCCAGCGGGGTTGGGGGCAGGAGACGTTAATTTCCCACGCACGAGATTACTGTGTGATGGATGTCCTCCCCTGGGGTGGGATGGGTGGGTTTACTGGGCCCACAGTAATTGGCGCAAGCTGTTGCGGTGTCCCTGCCAGTATGCGAAGCTAATAAACTAAACTAAACTGATGTCATAAATATAAAGCTGAGATGGTAAGAGCTATTTCTTTTGCATGTAATAGTTAGGGGGTTTCCGTTTTCAATCACAAATACGCATAAAAAAAGTCTTTTGCTTGGTTTCGTAAGAGGGACAGAAAATTGTAAATCTAAATTTACTATATTACCAAATTCACTAGACGTAATCAAGTACATTTGATTTACTACCACATGAAAATTTTGACAATCATCTTTGTACTGTATTTATAGCAATTCAAAGTTGCATTCAATTTGATAGTTGGACAACGAACAAACCAGTGAGGTTTCCTTGATAAGACATGAGATCCCAGCTTTAAGAATATGGAGTACAATCAAATAATATCCTTTTGTTGACGCTTTATTTTAATCACCTTGAATGCTTGGTATTGAAATGACATTGTAAGGATAAAATTACTTTGTCACTCCTAAGAGTGAAAGGATTGTTGGCAAAACTAACATGTTAGTGAACCCTACATAATCTAAGTTGTTAAAATTTTTCTTCTTGAGCTGATACCTTGAAAATAAAAAGGGAACGAGAAAATAAAGAAATCCAGTTGAATCTCATCTCACAGCTTCACCAGTCACATTTTACCCTTTAGTCTAAACCATTCACTCTAAGAAGGGATTAACACATAACTTCTTCCTATAGTATACACACAAAATCCAGCAAACAGGTAATGAGAATACACAAACTGAACAGGTAGGAGTTACTATTTGGATCTAACACCAATTCTCTTTACTAATTTGCAAGGAGGTGTGTAGCAGCTAGACAGGAGAATTCATAATACCTTGGAAGTTAAATGGCAAACTATAGGTTACCAATCCTTCAGCAGTGCAGTTGGGCTTATTATGGCTAGAAAAACTTTAATTCACACTTGAGTCTCGAATGATCCCTACTTACATTTAAGACCACCATTATTTTGTTATCCCTCCTTCAAAAAATTGTTTTGTAGAACCTCAAAGGGGGGTTCCCTACATTGTGCAGTGTAAAATTATGGTGGTGCTTTTTTCTCAATTTTCCATTTTTTAGCAGGTGGCTGTGAGTTCTCCTTTTTTCATTTTTTTAGCAGGTGGTTGTGAGTCGTCCTTTTTCAATTCTTCAGTAGGCGGTTTTGGGTCTTCCTTTTTCCATTTTTTGGGAAGTGGTCGGGAGTCCCCTTTTTTCCGATTTTTAGCACGTGGTTGTGAGTCCCCTATGGTGAGATTTGTGACAGGCAATGATGTATAAAGTGGAAGAGCTATTGAATCAGATGTTTTGAGGTTCAGGGATTGAATGTTATTCCATCCTTTTGGGACAATCTTGGTGATTTCACTGACAGCACTGACAACATTCTCTACAGCTTGTTCAATTGTTTGTCCAGTGTGGCCCACCTTAATTGCACTGCAATGCAACATATATGTATTTTAGTGTCCTTGTTTCATATCAAACACTCAGTGTGGATGGAATACATTGTGTGAGAGCTTTCTAACAATATGGAAAATATAATCATCATGCATACAACTCCTCTAACGATTTCCTCAGGCTTTTGTTTCTTAGACTTCCCAGTACACAATATCATTACCTGAACTCGAATTGAACTGAGAAATGCTCTGAGAAGCTTCAGCAAATTTCACTAAAAATGTACATTCAAAAGCCTTTTCTTCTGCGCGAACTTTGTGCTCGACTCAGTATCTTATACAAGAGGAAAATTAACACGAAACATAAATATTCTAGAATACACGATATTTCTAAAAGTCAAAAAAATCTCAAAGGCACATGCACATGCTATGTGCACTATGGTAACACAATGGACACAACAACTCCACTAGCCACTTATAGAACTCTTCTAGTTGAGAGGTGAATTGTCTAAAAATTCTGGAAACACTCTCTCATTAATACCACTTAATAACCAAGTTTAAGGTCTGTACTGCAAGTTACAGACCACATTTTTTCCCCTCATATTCATGGCCCAAGCACCAGACATGCTGGCCATAAATCCAAGTGGAAAACACAAGGTTCTGTGACTTAAAGAATGGTCCAAGAAAAGGAAGTTGGTAAGATATTAATTCTATCAAAGCACTGGGTTCAAATAGAAGACAAAGACTTCATTTCAAACAAAATTTTGAATTTAGCAGGCTATGTAGTGAAATATGCCCTGCTAAATTGACCAATTCTACAATGTAGCTCACATACTTAACGAGAGAAATAATAAAATTAGTCCTTTAGAAGCTCACCTGCAAGATCCATGGCCCAGTGTCATCAAAGAACAGTTAAGAACCTTATCTATTTCTTTCTTCAAGTTTACTTTCTTTAAATTAACTGGGATTGGAAATCTGCAACAAAAGAACATGCATGAAAAGACAATTCTCCATAATAAACATCCTAGACATTAACATTCCCTTCACAATAAACAATAAAGAGAAAATCAAGTTAAGCTTCATGTTGGTTTATATATCTGACACTTACAGTGCTTGACACTAAACTTTTCAATTTACTCGCCAAGTGGCTGGTGACAACTTAGCTGTTACAACAATTTCAGTTTGTTTACTAGTCAAACTGGACAGTGGAAATTGAAAACCACGAGTCAAAACTGAATTTCTCCTAGTCTGTGCCTAGTTGGCTACCGTTACTGTTGAGCCCTGCACTTATTGAACTGCTTACTACAAACTACATACTACAACTCACTTTTTCCTTGAGAAGAACACTTTTCCTAGTAACTTGGGTAACAAATGGTAGATATCATCATCACAAATGAACACATCATACAAGGAGCAGAGTTGTCTTTTGGCTTCATATGACCCGTATTTCTTACGAAGCTTGGTCAGGGAGATTACCTTCAGATTTGAAAAAACCACAAACGTAACTGCATATTCCAGCACCTATCTACTGTGTAATACTATTTATTCAGGGTCTAAACTAAACTACTCAATACAAGTGGCAATGAAAAATGTTATTTCAGTTACCCTATGGAACAATAAGTATCTTGAGAAGTTTGATCCATAAAACATTTGCTTCCGAGCAAAATACAAAAATGCAAAGTTTTATAGATGGTTCTTTGCTTTAGATATAAATATAATCTAACTGCTGATTGACCACAAGTTGAGAATAATTGCTGGTTTCCAAAATAAGACAAACAAGACTTGAAGTTAGTTGCATGCCAATGTTCAACACAAGACAAAATGGCAATCAAGAGTTACAGTAAGACTATTCTGAAATACTTGATTAATGGTTCCCCTTTCCATTTGTACACTGGTACAAATCTATTATTGTCCTTATTCCAGCATGAAAAAAAAAAAGAATGGAGAACTTTAGATAAAGCAGCTTTCCAGGCTTTCTCTTGATAAGGAAATCTTCCAGACCTTTGCATAGAGATAATTCCAAGGAAGATGGTAGATCTTGCCCACAATTACTTCATAATTGAAATATACTGAAAACTCATCTCCAAGCCTTGTTGGCACAAACATTTCCATGAATCTTTGCCACTTTGTTGCTCTTTCCATGTGTGCATTCTATTCATTTCAGTGTCTTTGAAATACTGTCTAATAAAAATGCACAATCCCACAGCTTTAAAATGATGCTTATGGGTGAAACTAGCTATTCCAATGTAACTATGCATAGGACCTAATATACCAAATTCATCCTAACCCAGTCATACCATTCCACACCTTACAATAAAGATCCCTGATAATTTTAGTATTATAATGAAATTTTGCTTGCAAATATGGTAGTCCATATCATACCTTTTTCACTGTAACATCTTTTGACTTCAGCAGTTCCTTTACTTTTGAACCATCCTCTTTGGTGAACAAACAAACCTCTACATGCTCTGAATACAAAGAGTGTGGCAAAGGACTGAAAAAGATACAAATTAAGCATACTTAAGCATTAGTTCTAAAACAAAATTATATTTAATAGAAACTGATACCTCACCAGATTATTTCCAAGTATTATAAAAACACAGCTTCAAGTTAGAACCTTAATTTAAGCCTATAAAATGTACATGAAGCTGTGTAATTAGTATAGGTCATCACATGGGGCTGAGCAAAATTAAGGATTAATATCACATGTGATTTCAGAAGTTGCTGAAATTGCCTGAGTTGCACAGCAACAAGGGCAGTTTCAGCAACTTCTGAAAACACAATTGACATTAATCCTTAATTTCATGAGGACCCATCAAGATTACCTGTTAATGAAATACGGGGAAAAATACTGAATTTCTGAATGTGCTCTCGAGTTATCAGTCACAGGAAGCCATTTAACAAATGGTAAACACCACAGCGTACACTATTGAGTTATGGATGCACGCAGGAGGTTGCTAAGCACGAAAGAAGCGTAAGAGTTGCTCGAGGTGATAGCCGAGAGCGACTCTAGCTTCTTGAGTGCTTAGCAAACATCCCAAGTGCATTCATAACTCAATAGTGTATGCTGTGGTGTTGACCATTTGTTTTATAACATAACATTGATACATTGTAGCTAAAGAGTTCCCTTTTATCTAACAAATCTTACGCAACCAGAAAAAACAAGCGCGTGCGGAAAAATAGTCTTTGCATTTGCTCACGTCAGCAGCGTACACCCATGGGCAAATGGGGGACGCTAAATTGACCAATCAGAGCGTGCGCTTTACTTTGGTTATGTTATAATTAATGTTGACAAAGAATCAATCACCACAAATGCACAAATGAACTGAACGAAATTTTATTTTTGCACAAACATACCAGGACATTAAAAAGCAGGCCTGCT